CTTTATAAACAGCAGAGTAAAGCAGATCTGTATTTTAACTCTTCATCAGTTAGTGATATTTATAGTTACACAATAGAAAATGAAGAAGTCAAAATATCTTCTTTTTCTAAAAATGTGACATCACATTCAGATATTTTTTTAATGTAGGAGTATTGTTATTTATTCAGTCATTGATAGGTTGATTGAATTGGGCATAAAATCCACCTTACTTTTTTTTCCTTTTTATAAATTTATTTATTGAATCACTGTGAGAGCAGTTATAAAGCTTTTGGGTTTAAGTCTCGGTTATACAATGATGAAACACCCGATCCTTCACCAGTGCCCATTTTCCACCGCCAAAAGCCCCAGTATATCCCCTATTGCACACCCTCCCCTTACCTGTGTGACAGATTATTTCCACATTACTCTCTCTCTACTTTGATTACATTCAATATTTTGACACCAGGCCCACCATTATTATTTGGGATTTTTACCCCAACATTCAAATCTGCTGAAAAGGCAACATAGACAACTTGTTTTCCATTGCTGATTATGAATAACATATGATGTCACACAGCCACCATGGTGGCCGCATGATTTTGGAATTCTGAAATTTTAACAATTAAATCTGGAGGAATTTCTGTGAAAACCTGGTGGGTTCTGAGATTTGTTCCTGAGTCTCTAGGATCATGAGTGTTAAGCAACTTGATCAGGAGCCAGAGAGGCCATGCCTGGGTGACGACTTGAGGTCTCGTTGGGGCGTGGAGGACAGGGCCGGCTCCACCCCTATCCTTTGAAGCCCTGCGTGTCTTGTCACTGTGGGTCCAAACCTGACTGTTCAGTAGCCTCTGGAGGATGGCAGCCACCAAGCCGCCGTGGGAGCAGGACAAGGAATGAAACCTGTTCCAACCTGGGGTGACCTGGCACCGGTAACGTACTGCAGGAACCAGATGCATTTCTGCCAAAAGCTGCTGGGTTCCGAGATTTGTTTCTGAGTCTCTGGGATCATGGCCGTTAAGCAGTTTGATCAGGAACCAGAGAGGCCTTGCCTCCAATTATATAGCTGAGTTGGAGGTGGTTTGTGGTTGTATCTCCCACATACCTAACTCTTGGATGTTTACTTTCCTGGTAAACTTGGCCCCAAGTTGTTGGGGTCTGGCCAAAGGCACAGCAGCAATTTTAGGGTATCTAGAAGTCCGAAGGCACCATCAGGCTGCTGATCCATTCGCCTCACAGGTGCAGGTTGACCTGTTGGCAGCATCATACACATTAAGATATGTTAATTTTATACCAAATAGCAATAAATCTCTCAAAATGAAAAATAGTTGAAATTGATGTTAAGATTTGTAAATTATCATCAGTTTTAATTAAAATATCTTAATAAAATTTAAAAAGTTATAAGAACATTAAACTTAGTTTTGTGGAAGTATAACTTTACTGAAATAATGTTTTTTTAATATAAGTATTTGGAATTTTTCCTCCTCTCCTGGCAATCTATTCCATGTGTCTTGAATACTCTCAGGGATGAGTGTAAAAAGTAAAAATATGAGAAATGGAGGATCTTCTGAAATTTTTTTCTAAAATTCTAATTTTGGGGGGATACAAAAAAAAAGACAGGCATGCACAACTTTGGGAGAGAAGTATCTGTGTTAAGAGAATCAACTGTCGAACTATTGGGGCTGGAGCAACAGCACAGTGGATAAGATGTTTGCCTCGCCCATGACCAGGTATGATTCCCAGCATGCTATTTGATCTCCTGAGCACTGTCAGAAGTAATTCCTGAAGCAGAGCCAGGAGTAAGCCCTGTGAATTGCCGGGTGTGACCCAAAAATCAAAAAAAAAAAAAAGAAGAAAAGAAAAAGAGAGAGAATCAACTGTCTCATCAAAAGGAGTATGGTATGAGTGTGATGTAAAGAGAGGGTTGTGGTGCAAGGAAATAGCTGAAGGGAGAAAGAGGAAAAAAGCACAGAAAATTTCTGAAGATGTACCAATTCTAATTTCTGGAGATGGTTCTTCTGTAATGTGAGAGTTTAGATTATTTCAATAGAACTCCTGAATATATATGATTACTAGTTCTATGAAGCTACCAACGGATTGAATATAAATTCAGTGCTCCAGTCTTATTTGTGTCCTATGCATTAAACCTTAGGCTACGAATCATTCTTGTTACATTCCTATATTTCCTCGTAGAGTTCTTTTTCTCATTACTTTTCTTATAATGTGCTCCGTATGAATTATAATGTTTATAATATAAAGTTTTTCTTGACTTATCTCTTTGGCCGTTAGAACATCCCAGGAAAGCTATAAACCCCAAAGCATGTTTTCTAGATAGTGATTAAGGAGGTGAGCATTGAGGAAATTTGAAATCACTGCACTTATATGAATGGAAGCATGACTAAGAATGTGGGTGGTGCTTTATACACAATTTCCAGAGCTGAATGTCATCAATGACAAGGGCAAACAAAAGAAGTTTTCTTATTCAAGGTGCTTCTTCCAAACATGTTACCTAGGGATACTATTTACATTTCTACTTATTTTATATTTACTATGTGTGGATGTTAAACAAAATTATTAAGTCTGAAAATTTATTTTCTTTTTAATATGTTATATCCTGTTAAAAACATATTAAACACCACAAATGCACTTGTCTCACATAGTACTTTTAATTGGAATTAATTAGCAGAATGTAAAATCTGCAATTTTCAAGTGAAAATCCGAGTTTATGACTAGTACTGTTTTACTAAGAATCAACTAATGTTTAGTTGAGTTTGTTGTTTTAAAAAAAAAAAAACAAGGATTCTCCAGAAATTGTCCATATAACCATCTTACACATTTTGTTTTCTCTGGTATCTTAGACCCTTGACTATAAGAATGCTTCTAGAGGTATTTTTAATATCTTCTTCAAAAATTATGAGCTACAGAGTCAGGGATGGGCTCCCCCCCCCCATGTCCCTGTACTTCCAGAAGCCCTAGCAGTCACACCTCTGAACTGTCTCCAGCAGCAAGTAACCTCATTCACATCCATGATCCAGAGACTCATAAATAAGTCTCGAAAAAGATCAACAAGTTGCAGATTCTTCCATACCCGGCAAAGGGCTGAGTCATCCGAGGCACCCTTGAGTGGGGTAGGTGAGCCCAGCACCCACCCAAAGAGAGCCCTGGCAGATAAAAACCTCCACACTTCACAATTATTATTATGTTCCCTGTCAGACGCCACTGCTCCTTCCCCCATTCCAAGAAGTATTCAGAGTTCTAATATCGCCAGGATCCAGAGTTCTCAGCCTGGCCAGTCTACAGGAGAAGATTCACAGATATCATCTTCTTTTGTAGATGTGAGACTGGGGAGTTTCTCTGCTGGAAGGTGATGGATATCAGCAGGGCCTGCTGGGTTTCCTAAGAATGTGGAAGCGGGCAAGGGGCATTCTGCTCCCTCCATTCTGATCATTCCCATTAAACTCTGGGGCTATTCTTTATCTGATAGGAAATTTTAACTAATACTACTTTAAAATGCTGCAGAAAACTGATGACTGGCAAAATACTAGATTTCTCTCTTTGACATTTTACTCAAGGAATTTGACTTTAAAGAGAAATTTCAAGACATAAGAAACATCTTATTTATTTGCAATATTTTATATAGTTAGGTTCATTACATAAGTAACTCTTTTTTTTGTTTGTTTGTTTTTGCTCTTTGGGTCACACCTGGTGATGCACAGGGGTTACTCCTGGCAATGCCCAGGGAACCATATGAGATGCTAGGAATCGAACCCGGGTCAGCCACATGCAAGGCAAACGCCCTACCCGCTGTGCTATCTCTTCAGCCCAACTTAAGTAACTCTTATAACTCAAAATTAAAAACAAACAACAGGTGAATTACTAAGCCATTGTCTTCCTTAATATACTTTTAAGTTTATTTCTCCCGAACAACCATTTAAGTTGAATGATAATCATATTTCCAAAGAGCAAACAGACAAAATCCCAACACTGTAAAAACAAACACATATTAACATCATTATGTGATCTTAACCTGCTTAAATCTAAAATTAATATGTTTTATAAATCTAAAATTATTTTGTTTTATAAATAGTCATTAGCAATTTGGACAAGTCTCCATATTTTTCAAAATACCTATTTGGCTTATGGATTACAAATTTTATATGCTTCAGAAAAAATGTCTTGGGAATAAAAAATAGACATTTTCAGTGTGATGGAAATGTTCTATAGTGTTTTGAAGGAAGTCCATTCAATTTCATTGACATTCATAAATGATGACTAATGCATTCAAATAGAATGAGTAATTTACCAAATTACAGACATTTGGATGGGCGCAGAATGAAGATCTTGTTTGTTTGGATCTGTCCTGAAGTGAATCTCAATGAGGTTTACTTCATTATGCCTGACTCTACAAATAGGCTTCAGTCACTATCTGAACAAAAGCCCTGACATGTAAATAAATGTGCAAATGATGGCCAGCTACATTACTCTTTTTGTCCTCAGTCAACTCTGGAACAGTTAAAGAGATGGCACCATTGTATTTATCACACTATAAATGATTTCTTTGGGTATGGTGTTACTATATTCCAAATCTTCTTATGACCTCAAGTGCCAGGTACACTTACTACAAGTTTCCTCTTTTTTGTAATTGTGGAATGACATATAAAGTACTCCTTAATAGTGCTCCTTCTGACTTGAATATTAGAAGAATATTAATAAGAATATAATTGACACCTCCCTCAGTGATCCATTGGAAGAACTCTAAACCTCTGGTGTAATCCAGAGATGAAAAGTAGCAGCACACCCAATATTCAGAGAAAGCATTATAGGCATCACTGTAAGTCTTATGTTTGGTATCCACATTGTGCAGAAATTTTGTCTTTGGTCAAAGACAAAAAATTACAAATTAAAACATAAATTCAGCCCTTAACAGAATTGTCCCATCCTTTTAACAAAATTAATTTTACTTATTGCTTATCTTGAGGATTTTAAAATTTGTTTGTCTTGAGGACAAAATTAAAATTAAAATATTGTCTCTGAGAGGGTGGGGTCCGCCGCGAGAAGCTCTTGACAGCCAGGCTCTGGCCCCGCTGCTTCCGCCGCCAGGCCGTGCGGCACTTGGAGTCGATGCTCTGCTTGATCCGGTACCAGTCGGACTCGGTGATGCCGAATTTATAGAAGAGGTGACAGCGGATGCCATAGATGGTGAGGGGGTCCAGCTGCTTCTTGCCGTGTTTGCCCTGGCCGGACAGGTTGGACACGGCCTGCACCTCGCGGTGGAACAGGTAGTCAAGCAGTGTTAGCGCCATCTTCTCGGCCGTGCGGCAGTTGGTGCTGATGTGCAGCATGTCGGAGGGGACGATGGCACAGCGCACCCGCATCTCGGGGTTGTTCTCGTCGCCCAGCCACGTGCCGTTGGGGTAATCCTCTTCCGAGTTGAGGGTGATGAGGGTGACGTTGTTCCCGATGCTCTGGCTGCCGGCCTGCCCGCAGTTGGAGACGCAGTCGCTGGCCTCGGAGCCACTCTCCCCGTCCTCATTGTGACTGTCCTCCTGGCCCGGCACCTTCACCACGATGGTGTTCTGCCGCCGCCCGGGCACTGTGTTGCTGACGACACTTTCCAGGGACTCCGCAGCCCTGCCGCACAAGGGGTCTTCCATCTTGGCTACAATGGCGTTCTGCCGGTCATTGTTGAGTATGACAGTAGTCTGGGGCACGACGCATCGCACTTTGTTGCAGGTCTGTGTCGCGCCGAGTGGGGAGCCTGCCACCATGGGGACCTGGATGGGGCTGTGCTGCTTATTGGTGACCAAGTCCAGCTTCTCCTCCAGCGACTTGCACGTCGCCTCCAGGGCCTGCAGCTTGGCTTCGAGAGGACACTACTTCCACTACCCAGCCGTCGCCACACTCCAGGACGCTTTCCGGACCCGCGCGGCCGCTCCGGCCGAGACCCACGCACAACTGAAGACCCACAGAACAAGGTAAGCGGAACTCTCTGAGACCTTGGACTCCAGGCTCGGCGGACCCAGGGACAGAGCTTCTCTGCTTGCTCCCACCACCACAGGTGACAAAGGGATTCTAATCAGGAGCCCCACCCTACCCTGCCCTGTCTGCTTCCATCAACCACCCAGGGATCGAATTGTGCACAGGAGACCCACCCTACCCAGATAAATACCCCACTGGCAGACTTCCACTCTCGACACTACTTCCACTACCCAGCCGTCGCCACACTCCAGGATGCTTTCCGGACCCGCGCGGCCGCAAGCGGCCGCGCGACACATCATAAGACACTAAATACCCGTCTTCTGGAATTGTCGTACCATATTTGATAGGGTTCAAATATGGTAACACCTACAAGGGTGATTAGAGGTCACCCCAAAAGCCTCTATACCTCTTGGAAAGACTGGCAAGCTACCGAGAGTATTCCGCCCGCACGGAAGAGCCTGGCAAGCTATCCGCTGTGTATTCGATATGCCAAAACCAGTAACTGCAACTGGTCTCATTCACCTGACCCTGAAGGCTTCACCGACATGGCAGCACTGAGAAGGATGAGAAAGGAGAGGCCGACAAAATCTCAAGGCCGACCTAGGCTGCCACAACGAAGGAAGACAAAAATGATCGTCTGTACTTTCAATGCACGTACGCTAGCATCAGATGCATCCATCGAGGACCTGATGGTACAAGCGCGAATGATCAAGTACGACATCATTGGTCTGACCGAGACAAGAAGACACGAATCTCACCATGCCGTTTTCGACACTGGAGAAGAATTGTTCCTCAGAACATGCGATAAAAGAGGTGTTGGAGGCGTCGGTGTCCTTGTCAACACAAACTTGGCCAAGAGCATTGATTCATTTGAATGCCTAACAACCCGAATCGGATGTTTACATTTGAATAGATGTGGCTCACTGCCTGCAGTTTCTATCTTCGTTGTCTACGCACCAACATCTCATTATGATGAAAGAGAAATCGAGAAGTTCTACATGGAGCTAGAGAAGTTCTATAAAGAAGACCACACCTTCTACAAGATCATTGTGGGTGATTTTAATACCAAGATAGGACCGAGAAGATCAGCTGAAGAACTTCACATCGGAACCCATGGCCTAGAATGGAACGAACAGGGTGAGAGACTGTCTGAGTTCATCATGTCGACCAAGACCATTCATGGTAACTCACAGTTCCAGAAGGCAGAATCTAAACGATGGACATGGGAGTCTCCCGGTGGACGATTCCACAACGAAATAGACCACATCATATTCAATCGACGGTTTTGCCTGACTGATGTCGCTGTTGTCCCAAATGTGAGCTGTATTGCGGATTCACTACCAGGATCTCACCATTCTACAAAGAAGTGATCGTTGATGTCAAGAGAGGGGTGCGGCAGGGTGATACCATTTCACCAAAACTCTTCAGTGCCACCCTCGAGAACATCATGCGACGACTGGAATGGGAAGGAATGGGAGTGAAGATAGATGGTCGGCAACTACACCACCTCCGCTTTGCTGATGACATTGTTTTAATAACACCAAACATCAGCCAAGCGGCACAAATGCTGGCCGACTTTGACCGTGAGTGTGGAAAGGTAGGACTACAGCTGAATCTTACGAAGACAATGTTTATGAGAAACAGCCTTGTTCCTGACGCCCCATTCGCTCTCAATGGAACGACCATCTCCGAATGCAACAGCTATGTGTACCTAGGTCGAGAGGTCAACATGACAAATGACCTGGCACCCGAGCTGCGCAGGAGGAAGAGAGCGGCTTGGAACGCCTTCAAGAACGTCGAAGAAATAGCTAAGAGGACGAAGAACCTCCGGCTCCGGGCACATCTCTTTGATTCCACTGTTCTTCCTGCATTAACATATGCCTCAGAGACCTGGGCCCTACGCAAACAAGATGAGAACGCCATTCAGGTCTCCCAAAGAAGAATAGAAAGAGCTATGCTTGGAATATCACGTTTCACTCAAATGAGAGAACGAATCCGGAGTTCTGACATCCGTCGACGATCAAGGATCAGGGACGCTGTCTCATTTGCCAAGGTGTCGAAAATCAGATGGGCTGGTCACGTAATGAGATTTAAAGACGACCGTTGGACTAGAGCTGTTACTGATTGGATTCCACGGGATGTCAAGAGACCGCGTGGCCGCCCACCTACCAGATGGTCAGACTTCTTTGTCAAGGTCATGAACGATCGGTTTGAGGCCCCCCATGTTCCCGGAGCGAAGAGATGCCATTGGGCTACACTAGCACGCGACAGGGACAAATGGAGACGTTACTGGCGCCCGCTCGAGCAAATCGACGACTAACGGGAAGTTAAGTGATTAAGTGATTAAGTCTCTGAGAAACTGAATCAAGTTCATGACTTTTTGTAACTTTTGTCATTACTTACAGTTGCTGACTTCAAAGTTTACTAACATTTGTGTTCACCAATTGGATTTTGTTAGCAATTGGAAATCTTCCTAATAATGTTTCAAAAATAGTTCTGTGGTTTTATGATTTACAGAAAGAATTGTCATGAATTTGTTATTCTGATACTTAAGTTAAGCACATATGTAGAGCACCAAGAATGGAAGTTACATTCTTGTAGAAAAGACTTATATTGCCAAAAAAGGGAAATAAATTAAAATAAAACATAATAGATATAAAGGTATAAAGTGGAAACTTAAAAATGCAGATATAAGAGGTATACATTAGAATAAAAATATATATTACTACAGAGATTCCTAGTTGAGTTTAAAAAAAAGTTTTGTAAGTGTTATAGTTGAAACTTGAAGATGAAAATACTGACTAGAAGAATAAGTAGCATTAACAGAAGGAAATGTATGCCCAAAGACTCCAGTATAAAAATGACATAATATTTGAGAACTTTACATTAATTTGTTGGAGATGATAAATAATGGGAAGAGTGGCCAAGAATGAGGAAGAAGAAGGAAGCATGAACCTGGTCTTAGAAAACACAGTAGAGTTTTTACATCTCTATCGTAGAGCTGACAAGGGTCATTGGGAAATGTTTACAAGGGCTGCCATAACAAAGGTCTTAGCCTGGATTACTTAACCAACTTAGGTGCTTTCTCAATCATTTAGAGGTTGAAAACCCAATATTGAGGTGTTGGCAGGGTATATATATATATATATATATATATATATATATATATATTTTGGTCTCTTTCTCTCACACAGAAGATGACTGACCACTCCCTTTTGTTTTTGCATGTTTTTTGTTTTTTTGTGCATTCAGGCCCTACTTGCCATTTCTTATAAAGATACCAGTTATCTTACCTTACAGGATAAACTTATGATTTCATTTTAACTTAAGCATCTTTGGAAGCATCGAGGTCAAGAGAGAGGTTTGGCAGGGTGATACCATTTCACTGAAACTCTTCAGTGCCACCCTTAGAATGTCATAGGACTACTAGAATGGGAAGGAATGGGAGTGAAAATAGACGTTTGGCTACTACACCACCTCCGCTTTGTTGATGACATTGTTGTAATAACACCAAACATCAGCTAAGTGGCACAAATCCTGGCCGACTTCAACCATGAGTGTGGATAGGTCAGACTCCAGCTGAATCTCACAAAGATGATGTTTATGAGAAACAGTCTCGCTCCTGACATTCCATTCATTCTCAAAGGAACGACCATCTCCAAATGCAACAGCTACGTGTACCTACATCGAGAAGTCAGCATGACAAATGACCTGGCACCTGAGTTGCACAGGAGGAAAAGAGCAGCTTGGAATGCCTTCAAGAGCATCGAAGAAATAGCTAAGAGGACAAAGAACCTCAAGTTCCAGGCACATCTCTTTGATTCCACTGCTCTTCCTGCATTAACATACGCCTCAGAGATCTGGGCCCTATGAAAACAGGATGAGAACGCTAGCTATTCTGGTCTCCCAAAAAGGAATCAAAAGAGCTAGCTTGGAGTATCACGTTTCACTCAAATGAGAGAAAGAATCTGGAGTTCTGACCTCCTTCCACGAAGATCAAGAATCAGGGAAGCTGTCTCATTTACCAAGGCGTCTAAAATCAGATGGGCTGGACACGTAATGAGATTTGGAGATGACTGCTACCATTACCGACTGGATTCCACAGGACATCAAAAGACCACGTGGCCGTCCACCTGCAAGATGGTCAGACTTCTTTGTCAAGACCCTGAACAATCAGTTTGAGGCTCTTCGTGTTTCTAGAACGATCAGACGTCATTGGGCTACACTAGCACGTGACAGGGACGAATGGGGACGTTACTGGTGCCTGCTTGAGCAAATCAATGATTAATGGGAAGTCAAGTGATCAAGTGATCTTTGGAAAGCCTAAGGCCAGCTTCAATTGTAGTCTCACAGGTTAGAGTATAGGACATTGACACATAAATTTTGTGTCAATTGCATGGTGCAAAGCAAGTGTAATACAGGACAATAAAAAGACCACATTTTGCTTTATGATTTTACTCTGGTTACAAATTGGATAATGTGGGAGCATAAGAACAAGCCAGTGTGTCCTAAAGGAGACCCTCTCTTATAATCCAAGAACTGGGCTTACTTTGTGGGCCCATATTTTTTCTCAGAGAACTACAGTAATTCCAGAGGAAAAATGACTTGGAGAAGAGACTTGTGTGTGTGTGTGTGTGTGTGTGTGTGTGTGTGTGTGTGTGTGACAAGAAGGGAGGAAAATAGAAAACAGTATAAAATGATGTATATTTGTAGATATGATAGCAGGAAGTTGAGGTGGTTTAGCTTTCATGGCTTTTATTTTAATCTTATGTGAAGTACGACATCTGCTGAGAATAAGAAAGAAAAATTGCAGATGTGAATTGAGTGGAAAATGTATTAAATTGCCATTCCAGAGAGTGGGGAAGCAGACTAACAAAAGTCT